TCCAGAAATAAACTTCATAAGTCCGGTAATTAGAATGCTTACACTTATTTTGTAATTTATCTTATACCATGAAAAACCAAAACTTGTAAAATATTCGCAATGTTTTGTTTTGGTTTTACACTTTTAAGGATTGTTAAAAAAATTGTCATTTTTTCATGCCAGATAAAGAACTTTGAAGGGTTGAAGTGTTTAATTTACAACGAAATGAAATAAAGCATTGTTCCAATTGTTTATGAATTGGTACTTACATATGAATTTATTATTTTGATTATATTATTATTATACAGAAATATTTACAAAATATTCACATTTAAAACGGAAAATTAGAAACACTGAAAAATATTTCAAATTTTTGTAATGCAAGAGTTGAAACAAGTTTCATATAGTTCGAATATGTATATTTGTTCGAAAACTTAATCAAACAACTTGATCACAATTTAATAACAAGTAACTATTACATCCATGCATCGAAATTTTAAATATGCAGTGAATCCATATATAAATTTACATTTCAGATTTCATTCAATTTGAAAATTTTATCAGGTTTTCATTCCAGATAAACAAAATATAAATATAGAACATCCAAAATTAGTAGATTAGATATATTTTTCGTTGTTATACGAAGATTTATTCAGTAAGTAATACAATTTAAATCATTTTGCAATTTTTTTGTGACATGAACTACAAATAAGCCTTAAAAAAGATATTAGCAATAAAGTTTTTTGCTCACAATTGGTTTTAGGGAGGATTTTAAAAACTTGCCATATTTTCATGCCGGATAAAAACTTTAGAAGGGCTGAACAGAATAATTTACAATTAGATGGGTACCTGGATTACAATTAGATGCGTATTTGTTCAGGATTTGTTTAAACGGTATTTATTATCCATACTTCACAATTTTCAAACAACAGGTTATATTTCGAATATTTATTTCATATTCTCAGAATATACGCATATAAATTAAGTAAAATGTCGAGAACTTTATCACAATTTAGTAACTTTATTTAGTAATCTTTGAAATTTGAACTTTTAATGAAACTTTTAAGAACGATTGTAAGAAAATTGTGTCATATCTTCATGCCGGATAAAAACTTTAGGAGAGCTGTAGACCTTGATTTATAATTAGGTAGCTTTATCTTGATAAATACAAATATTCGTCTTTAAGGCATGTATGTATTTAGAAACATGTTATCAAAATAGTTATTAGTTCTGTTCAGAAACATTTTATACAAATTAGTGACATTTAACAAGAAAAGGTATACTTAAAAATTTTAGAAATTTTTACAATCCAAAGTCTAAAAAAGTTCATATCCTCGGAATAAATATGTATTTTATTAATTAAAAATACTGTAACATCGAAAACATACTTAACCACAACTTGATCACAATTTAGTACATAAAAAACACTCAATTATTCCATCCATGCATCGAGATCTCGATATTAAGCGTATGTACATATTTAAATACATGAAAAATTTCATGGTCTGAAATAGGAAAAAAGTAAATTTAACGAGAATCCTTTATCTCGTTGTTATTTTGCGGCCATAAATTTGCATCGTTACGAGTTTGCACATCATATGGAAAAACGTGATCCCATTCTGTTCTTTGAATTAATTTTGCATCCGTTGTACTTTTCTTTTCCAGAGACTAACTCGGTCCAATAACGAGAACGAAATATTTGAGAAAATCGGAGCTTTGTCATTTATTTTGCTTCTTTCTTTCACCACTCGTCCCGATCTTCACTGGAAATTCGGTTTCGCAAATTTCTTCCCAAAACAAAATGACAGTTTCATCACAGCAAAAGCAGTCCTAGGAAATGCATAATTGGCCCAAAACTGGAATTGTTGGGAGTTACGAAACTTCAAAGTAGTTCAAAAAGTCATCCTGCTCCTAATTGGACTCGTTTTGTGTAATAAACAGTGATTAAGATGAAAGAAAATCATGCCATTCTTACAGTTTACGTAATTGCATAGTTATTCTAAGCATGTATTAAACAAGTCGCAATCTGGATAAGGTCTTATCACCACGACCCGATAACCCATGAGGAGAAGGACGATATTTATACAAAACGGCATTATATTAGCGTTCCAAGGATATCATCAAACCATCTCGAAAACGAGGACAGCGAGAGAACCAAATTCTCCTCAAGCATCCAACAAAACCAGCTCTGCTCGCAGAAAATCCACACAAAAGCTGCCTACAAAGTATCTCAAAGTTCGAAATTTTATCCAAAAATTAGCCTCATTTTCACCCCCGAAAACCTGATCCTCCAAGAGAAAGAATATTACATAACAATTTCACCCCTCCCAAAAAAAATTGTTGTCATCAATGCAATGCTTCAGCGATAAAATGAAACTTGTATCGTCAACAAGCCATAAGAAAAGCACGTCTCGCTACAACACTCACCTTATGAAATGTCACTACGCAATTGCCCCCACCTCCGCGGCTCGACTGCCCCCCTTCGAACCGAGGTCACACCCACATTCCCCCCAAAATCAGGCACCCCTCCGTCCAACTCGGGTCCCTGCAAGTGCCCCCACTGACCAGCTACAACCCCCCAAAGATCCCCCAGCTAACTAAGCACACCGCACTTTTGTCTCTGCGAGCCTCGCCTTCCGATTTAATTGGTGGGGGGAAATTTCGCAAAAGTGCGGATATTTTTCAGCCCCCCTCATCCCGACAGTTTGGGCTGCCTTGGGACGAGTGGGGCCGTCCTGGGTGACCAACCACCCCCAGGAACACCCCCTCAGAGAGAAATTGGTGGCCAGAGAGACGAATTTTGGCCACTTTGGGGCCTCGTGGAGGGCATCCGGGTGGGGCGAGGGGGTCAAGAGAGGTGTCATTTTGAAGGGGGAGGTGTCGGCTGGGGATGGTGGGGAAATTTGGGGGGGTGTGGGGTGCGGGGGACGGGAGAAGTGGGGACGAAGGCGGGGAGGGAAACACAGCCGAGGAGAGAATCCTGGCATGAAATGGAGTTTTGAGAGGAGAGGAAAAGGCGAGTTCCGTGGCGTCCGCTCTGCCTCGTAAAACCATTCGGCAGCTCAAGGACTGTTTTCAATACGAGTTTCCTCCTCATCTGCAAATCTAATTCTGCATTCCAACGAGAAAAAAAGTGAAAAATTGTAAACAAGGTTTTTCGAACACCGGAAAAGAAGAGAGAATTTGCTGTTCAAGTTTGAAAGAGATTCAAGGAAAATCAAAAATTGTAAGAATGAAGTGTTTTTCGGGGGATTTTTGAGTGGGAGAAGTTTTTCATGTACATTTGCATGCAATTGCTTCCTATTTTGAAATTCAATTTTTGGGAATTTTGAAAAATTTAATTAGTGCACTTTTCGTGCTCTTTAGAAATCATTTATCTTGTCAGGAAAATAACCCCAATTTTACGTTAATTTTGTTGCACTGGTTTTTGACCCTACTTTTTCGTTCTCGTTCGGATTTTCATGAACTTTCATTAGTAGGAATTTTTGAAAATTTACTTAATTTAATTAGGTACGCTTTTTCTCCAGAAGTTTTAATCTTATAGCCAAAATAAATCATCTCTTGTCACGAAAATTGCTCACTGTATATTGAACTTTGTACTAATTTTGTTCTCGTTATTACAGAAGGAAATGTCTGCTGCTATCGCCACACCTGCGCCAACTCCAATGGCCGTCGCTCCAAAGAAGGCAAAGTCCCCCAAGAAGACCGGAGCCAAGAAACCGGCCGCTGCCTCCACCCACCCCGCGTGGGCCGACATGATCACCGCCGCGGTCAAGGCGCTCGGAGAGAAGGGAGGTTCCTCCGTCTCCGCCATCAAAAAGTACATGATTGCGAATTACAAGATCGACGCCGAGAAGGCCGGCCCATTCATGAAACGTGGCATCAAGGCGGCCATCGCGGGCGGATCACTCGTCCAGGCCAAGGGCAAAGGACTCACCGGCTCCTTCAAGCTCGGAGCTGGCAAACCCGTCAAGAAGGCCAAGACGGCCAGCAAGAAGAGCAAATTGGCCACAAAGAAGCCTGCTGGTGAGTAATTTAACCTAGTTTTTACCATAATTAAATCCACATTTACTCGAATTGTGACTAAAATCGTGTATTTTCTTTTGATTGTCTCAGGTGAGAAGAAGGCCAAGAAATCCGCCTCTCCCAAAAAGGCCGGTGCCAAGAAGGCTGCTACCAAGAAAACCACCAAGGCTGCTGCCCCCACCACCGCAGCACCTGCTGATGCTCCAGCTGCGACCACCGCCGCCGCACCAGCAGCCAAGAAGGCCGCACCCGCCAAGAAATCGGTCAAGTCCCCCAAGAAGGCAAAATCGCCAAAGAAGAAAGCCGCCGCCCCCAAGGCGAAGAAGGCAGCGACCCCCAAAAAGGCCAAGGCTTTGAAGAAGAAGGCAGCACCCAAACCAAAAGCGCCCAAGCCAAAGAAGGCTAAAGCTCCAGCTAAACCAAAGGCAGCTGCGGCCAAGGCGTAAATTAAGCTGTCTACGGAAAGAAAACGATATCCATCGCTTATCCATTTCACGCGAGAAATATCTTTAATATTTTGGCAACATAATTGTACATACTAGATTAGATTAGATTAGCATAAGTAGAAATTAGAGAACAATGATCTCATTGAAATCATCTCAATAATCGAATTAAGAAATTTTACTTAATTCTTCTCTTTTTCTCTCTTCCACACGTTTTTCTGGGAATATTGTCGCCCAATTTTTTTAAGGAAAAAGTTAGTACAATTCTGAAAAATAATTTCTATCCCCCTACGACTAAAATATTCCCAGAAAAACATGTAAGATGGATTTATGCATATTTAAATATTTAATCCAAGTATTACTCTGTAAATAGTTAAATATTTAATTATCCAATCAACTATTAAGTTAACTAATGAGAAATAATTAATTACTTGTTACTCATTGTTATCAGTCAAACTCTGCTTTACTAGAATTCTACGAGATCAGATGCCGACAAAAATATACACAAGTCTCTATATTTTAAAATAAAAAAAGACTAGTTAACAAAAAAAATTCTCTTGAAAAATTATTTATTCATTGCAAATAAATAAGAATTCACTTATCGATCCATCTTCCACTACAAAAAATTGAGTCAAAATTCAGATTTCTCGTGGAAAATTATTTATTCATTTCAAATAAGAATCAACTTTTCGCGAGTTTATCGATCCATATTCAATTTTAGAAAATTGATTCATTTTAAATAAATATGAAGTTATCGGTAGCTTATCTGAGCCAAAATTTAAATTTCACTTTCATATCAAATAAGTATCAGCTTATCGGTAGCTTCTCCATTACAAAAAAATAAACCATCACATTTCCACCCTGCTCGGAATCCCCACATCTGACCGCGTACTGCTCCTCCGTTGTCGCCGCGTCGTTCGGTCGCCGCCTCCGCCGCCGCCAACGGTGGAGTCACTTTGTCGCCGCCTCCTGCTCGCATGACCGCTCTGATGATCACTGTCGCCCCCACTGCTGTCCTCCCCACTGGAAGAAATCGATTTATTTCTCGACCTCCGTCGCGGCGGGGAGGAAGAAGGCGACGAACTACCAGCACCGCCCTCCGACGTAGACGAATGTCTCACGCGGTGGTGAATTAGTTGGTTCTTCTTCATCTGCCAGACTAGCGATTGACGTTCCACGACTTCGGGAAATCTTCCCAGAAAATTTGTATCGTATGGGAGGATAAATTCCCATCCTTTTTTGGGAATCATGACGGAAATTTGGGTTAAGATTTCGGTCACTTCTTCGCTCGGAAGTTTGGTCAGGGTTATCATTTGGGTACGTTTGACGAAACGGTGTTCGGTGAATTGGCTGAGCTGTGAATGAAGTGAGAGAAGAGAGGTAATTAGACTAATTAAATTAGTTAATTAATTCAATTTTAGGTAATTGTGGTTCGAGGGTGGTAATTAATGGAGTAAATTTTGAGTAGTTTTTTATAACTAAAAAATAGTTTGAAATGTGGGAAATAAATAAACTTCAAAGAAATTGTGGGTGAAACGTGACCACAAATTTGAAAAGCATTTTCAAAAGTTAGGAAATTTACGAAATTTATGTGAAAACCATTTTTCGAAAACGTGTACAAATTTTCATCCAGCCAGAAAATCGTTAACTAACAGTTACTTGATAATTAACTAATTTGGCACTTTAATTACCGATGAAATTAACTCTTAAATATTCATCTCCATTAATTACAACGTTAAAGAAATTACGAGTTAACCAACAATCGTATCTCTGCCGCGTAGCATGAAAGGTCCGGAAATGCCGTTTGCACTACTCTTAAATTCGTCGGGGTAGATGACATCGCTTTTAACGACCCAGCACCCCTGCACCAAAATCGCCACGGTTTGCACACTCCGAACAAGCGACGTGTCGTCAAAATCTGCTTTCAACTTGGTCCGGAGAAAGTCCACGATTTGGTAGTATTGCAAAACTTTGGCTGCAAAAAAATGAAGCGTCGCTAATTAAACTTTCTTTGTAACCTATGCAAATTTTGGGTTTGTAAAATTTTGCAAAGTTTACACAAATTGCAATTTGTAATCGATAATTGAATTAATTAAACTGAACTGTGACAAAAATTGAAGAAATTTGTTAATTCAATGTTTCACGGGAAGCTTAATTTGCAAACGTGTAAACTTTGCGGTCGATATTTCTACAAACGCCAAAAATTGCAAAATTGTGTAATAAATCGAATTAATTTAACCGTTAACGTCTACATAAATTGTTTACCGTTGGTCATAAGGACGCGTAACTGGTCGTGAATCGTGGGCAACGCTTTCATCGCTTGGATAGAGATTTTCTGAGCGTTAACTTTTTGGGGTTGAGCTTTGTCCTTATCGTCGTCGGTGGTCTTTCCCCCAATTCCCCCCTCGGCAGGTGGTGGGCCAATCGCACCGTCAATACGAGTGTCGACATGTTTGGGAAACAACGTCTCCAAATATTCTTTCCTGTCGAGCACGTAAAACGGCGAGTTGGGTTTGTTCGTGTACAATTTGTCGTATTCGGCGCCATCCTCGGCGACGTATTCGAGGTCGACCCAGGCCTCTTCTTCTTCCCTTTTGCGAGCCATATAGGACGACATGGGACGTTGGGCGGTGGATGCGGAAGCCCCTTTGTCCCCAGAGGAGGCAGTGTTTCGACTGAATTTAACCGTCACCTTGGTCGCCTCTTCTTCCTCGTCTTCCGTGTCGATGCCGGATTTTTCTAGAAAAGAAAAATTAGTTAATTGGTGGACGATAAAATGTCATTTATTTCAAGTGAATTTCAGTGGAAACATGTTCCTAGTTTAAATTTCTGGGAAAAATGTTAATTTTGGAAGGATTCAATATTTCGGACACAATTTTACCTGATTATGTATTTTTTAAATGAAAATTTTCACCAGTTCAAAGAAAATTATTTGCAAACTTTTGTTTAAAACGTGTTTAAAAGCAAGAAGTATCGGAAACATTGCCAATTTTGGTAGGATTCAATCTTTATGAACACAAATTACGCAATTTACCCAGATTTTAACCTTTTTCGGCAAAGATTGATAACTAAGGTCAATTTACAGGTGTCCAATGTTTACCTTTTTGATAAGCTGCCTTCGCCTTCTCGGCCTTGTTGAGGTAGGGATAGACCGTCTTCATCTGAACGATTGAGCTGATCGGGGTTAACGTAACTTGACCTCGGCGCACGATACCGATCGCGTAGTTATCCGACAGTTTGGGAATTGTGGTGGATTCCATCGTCATCTTGTCCAAGCGGAGGTCGTGGTCGCTACACAAAACATGCACGGGTCATTTTTAACCTTTAATTAGTCAATTAACTAATTAATTAACCACTCACGGCATATATTTATCTTCATCTAATCCAATCCCTTCGGCCGCCTCAGCCAACAATTCGCCGGTTTCGGGGTCGTAAAGTTCCGAATCTGGATCCATTCCTATCGTCATTTGAATCTTTTTCTGGAGAGGTTTTATCTTTGTCTGTAAATTAAATAATTAGCTGTAAACTAGATAATTATCTCAACAATTAATTAACTAATTGCCTCCTCTTACGTGAAGAACGTCCAACTTTTGTGTGGAAATGTTCCCCGGTCGTTGCGGGTATTGGATAAGGTACAACTGTTTCATCAAAGTTTTAGAGAGGAAGACGGGAAACTAGGGGTAATTAATCAAATTATTTACCTTGAATTAAATCTTTATTTAAAATTTAAAAATTAAATTCAAATTTCAAAACCTCTTTAAGGACAACTTCCTGTTCGGCTTTGTCCTGTTGGAGAATCGCGTTCAACTTCGTGGTGGGTGTGACCGGGGGTCGTTTAGATTTTGAAGATGCCATTTTTTAAGAACTTAACTAACGTCGAGTTAAATAAATATTTAAATTTTGCTTAAATTATTCTGTTGTGTTGTGGAAGCAAACCTTAAAATCTAACATGTGTTTTGTATATCGTGCTCCGTGCCATGTTCCCTTCCCGGCGTGGAATCGTCTCAATTTTAGCAAAAATGTGTGACACTCGATTTTGTGACGAAATTTCATGAAAAATTAAGACAGAAATTTCTATAAAAATACACATTTTTTATTTAAAAAATCATGATGAGCGAGTTTTTGTATCAAATTTCATAGAAAACTAGACCAAATTTCATGAAAAACTAGATCAAATTTCATAACAAATTAGACCAAATTTTGCAAAAAAACTTCCTGAAAAATAAAAATAATAACCAAATTTTTGTAACAAATTAATTTTAACCAATGCCAAAAATAAGAACATATCGTTAAATGCAAAAAATTCTACTTTTCTTTAATCAGGAATAGCTTTAGCCTTTATTTTTCCTCAAATTTCTGATTTTACACATTTCGTTAATTGAAAAAACTAACGTGCTGCTTATCTTAATTAGCATTATCTGCATATTTCTATTTTATAACGGGCCAATCGTGCTGGTGATATTTGCAGCGTCCTCTTCACTACTCTCGGACCGATCCATGGCTTCTTTCCAGGTGAAGAGATGCGTCTTCCAAATTATGGGAACCTTACATAATTGTAAAAACATTAGAATTTTCGAACTATTTTCGCTATCTAAAGTTAGAATTTATCCGGTTAATCGTGATTCACGAAGTCATTTGTAACTTGTAAAATCCGAAAATTCTGTAAACTTGCAAACTTTTCTTGTTCAAATCAAATTGAAAGTTTTGTATTTTTTTCGATAATTAAGATTCGTGATGAGCTGGATATTTTTTTTGGAATTGAGGAATGTGGCCAGTTGAATTTTTAGATTGTAAAGTGAAGGATTTTCATTTCGTTGGACTAAATTGTGGATTTTTAGAAAGTTGAGATTTTTTGGATTTTTATATTTTTTGATAGATTTAAAACCTGATAAAATTATTTTTTAAAGTTTGAACACGATAAAAGGAAATCATAGGTTGTACATTGTATCTTTAACATGTCGTTGCGATTGGAAAGTAAGCCATTTAAAAACTAGGCAATTCACGCGGTCATTGGTAACTTTGTAAAATTAAAAGTTTTGTAAAATAACTTTGCAAACTTTTACAAAATAAAGGGACGCCCTTGATCGGAGCAAGTTTACAAAAATTTGGGAGCTAATTTTCCTTCGAAATATTTGTAAAATTTTGTAAAAATTTATAAGTTTACGTTTGCATATAATCGGAATTAATTAGGATTGATAAATTTTAATGCCATTTTAAAATAATTATTTTCAGTTAATAATATTTGCCTTTAAAGGTGTGAATCTTACGGTGCATTAAGGGTAGGATGACGAACTTAGCAACAAATTTGTACCCCAACTTCCAACCTGATTTTCTATGCTGAACGAAGTGATAAAATTATTCTGATTTCATGTACTTAATGGCAAATTATTTGGCTTCATATGCTAAACTCACTCTAGTGTATTGAACTAGTACTACTTGAGATAAGTCAATTTTAGTGAATTACGATTTAATTTTCTGGGGTAACGTTCTACGTCTCAATATAGCAGATATTGACTTCAAATCAATTTTATTGTGCAGCTAATATGCTCGTGGGGCGGGAGTGATATGGGTCTTTCCGATGATGTTGATCCCTTCATCCTGAAATTCCGCTTTTAAAATAAAATTTGCATATTTTTCATGCAAAATTTTAGATTACCGTAATTTGTGCACGCCAGGGACAGAATCGTCGGAAAGACCTATATCACTCCCGCCCCACCCACTCACGGTCTACCGATCAAACATATTTTTAAGGAATTTTATCCAATATTGGGGTCGAGAACGTTTCCCCAAAAAAGCATGTTGGGTTGTTACTATGCATAGAAAATGCCTTCATAAATTGACCAAAAATTAGGATTTAGATTTCATTAAAGCGTTTCATGCCCGCTAATTGTTCAAATTTCAAATCCAAGAATTTTGATTGGTTGGAAAAAGTTAAATGTCAAGACAATTAAAAAATTAACCAATCAGAAATTGGGTTATATAAAGATGGTGACGATGCAGAAGTTGCAATATTTATAAATGTTGCTAATGATAATTCGTAAAAATTAAATTAGAGTTCATCATCCTACCCTTAATTAGCCAAATTATTTCAAGGATTGACTACCGACTTGGTAACGATTTTTTATACAATATTTCATCTTAATTCAAATTTAGTCATTTTTCAATTTCTGACAGATTATGAGTTTATTTAATACCCGATTTTTGTTACCAACTCCGTAATACCTTTGTAACCATATAATTATTTACTATAAGACAATTTACGCAGTTATTCGTAAAATAACTTTGCAAACTTTTGTAGAACAAAAAGACGCCCTTTGATATGAGTAAGTTTACAAAAATTTGGGAACTAATTTTCCTTCGAAATTTTTCCAAAATTTTATAAAAGTTGGTAAGTTCACAGAAATTACGGAGTTTACAAAGTTACCAATAATTGACAATTGAGATGTACTAACCCCATCCGAGTCACTTATCAGCATTATGATAAGACACGACATCACGATTCCCACCCACGCAAACAAAGTCACATGGTTTAGAACCAATTTCATTTTCCGGACGTGATTTTCAATGAAATAAATCTTGTTTTTTTTTCAGAAATTTTTTAAACAATTTACGCAGTCCTTAGTAGTTTTATAACATGAAGTTTTACAGGCATTCATAAAATAAAAGACGCCCTTGATCAGTAAGTTTACAAAATTTATAAGCTAATTTTTCCTCAAAATAATATTTGTAAAAGTTTGGGAGATTACGGATTTTACGAATTTTACAAAGTTACCAAGGACTGCGTGAATTTCTCTTTTTCCAAATAAGAAAACTTTTAATTGTTCGATTGGATGTAAATAATTCGATTTTTCAAAATTCGGGACGTGAAATTGCTCGCCAAATGAAAAAATACATTCCTTTAAATATGACGATTCGTCTAACCCGCAATATTAATACATATTTATTATTTGCTTATCTGTACTTAATTATCTTCCAATCGAACCCACATAACATAAAAATTTCCACTGTTTACATGCTCCATTAAACCCTACTTCTTAACATTAGTAAATTGTGTGCATGCACCTCGGCAGCATCATTGAAAAAATTACGATTTTGTTCAGGAATCGTGACAAGACATAAAAACAGCCATGTTTTTAATGAGTCACCTTATTAAATTTGTTCATATCAACATTTACAAGATGTGCAGATAATCACGTAGTTTTAAGAAGAATTATAAATTAGTCTTCCATTTACGATTAGTAAATAATTAAGTACGTATTATTCCGTCTTATTGAGATGTTTACATTTACAGGAAGCGAATTCTGGTCTGGTGACATTTATTATTCAACTATCTAAATATTCATAGACGTGCGTTATCTAGCTATATGAATTTATTTCGGAAAACTGGGACGTACATGGATAAAGTATGGGATAGCTTTTGTCAGATGAGTCTCATGAGGCAAAATGAGACGTCATCTTTTACGCATAGTACTGAATCTCAAATAGTAAATATTTCCAATTAGAGGCAAATTTCCTATTAAATAAATTTAGATGTTTATAGCAAATTGACAAAATTTCTCAAACTTAAAAGTTTATGAAGGAAGTCTGTAGTAATCTGCGTTTTTAGGGGAATGTCCCATTTAACAGGTGGTCTACCTACAATACAATACATATTTTGTCCCTCAACGAGGCAAAATGAGACACATTGTGCCTGCAGAACCCAAAAATAAATGATTCTAATTGCAGGAAAATTTATTACCCGATTTAATATGTAGAAAATAAAATTTTCAAAATTTCTGGTCCGAATTTTTACATTAATATTAATTTTCAATTTTGGGAGGGTTTTCCTTTTATTTTTAGGGGTTTTGCATCTCAATAAATAAGAAATCGCTTTCCTCAACAATTAAGTGAGTAAGTCGAAGCGGACAGATTTTGATCCCACTTTCTCCACCGGAGTGAAAGCCGAGGCAACTTTGTCTTTATCTTGTTTTCTTCCAGGAAACAATATGGGATCGACTGCGGGCTTATTTTTGATGTCGGTCGAGGAGAAAGGTAAAGTAAAGTGGTTCGTAATAAAAGAGGAGATCACATTTCAGAGAAGGATAACTTCTCACGTTGTCACTCACAGATTTTCATGGCAAACTTTTGCATAAATAATTTTGCAAACTTTTACAAAATAATAAGATAACTTTTTGATCTGAGCAAGTTTACAAAAATTTGGAAGCTAGATAATCTTCCTTCGAAATATTTCTAAAATTATGTAAAAATTTGTAAGTTTTACAGAATTTACAATGTTACCAAGGCTTGTCTCAATATGACCTTTTCAGGTCAAAATTTGTAATACGACACCCATACATAAGTGGATGCAAGTGCCCTAACTTTTTCTAAAATTATACTTTTTGATTATTCAAATCTTTGAAAAACATGGTAATAAATATGTATTGTCAGTCTGGTTCAAGTGCCGGGGGATTGGAACTTAGTACCTGGGAAACGTCACCCAAAAGTTCCGATTCCCTGGACTTTTTACTTATGCAAGTTACAGGGAAACGGAACCCACTTGTCGCAGGATTTAGCGGGCCTCGATTCCCCGGTACCCTATTAGACAAAAGTTACGATTCCCCGAAACCCAATATTTTTCTTCCATTTTTCATAAATTGGATATATTTCCGCAAAAAAAATTTTATTGTCTCAAATTAACCTCCCACCAATGAAGAACATTGGATAAAAAAATTAGAATTTTTTAAAGTGGCGTTTTTCCTAAAATCACAAATATCTGACAAATTTGAGGAGCGGCAAGCTCAAAAAGGTCCGGGGAATCGTCACCCAACAATGATTTTCATATACAAATAATTTTTGGGTGACGATTCCCCGGACCTTTTTGAGCTTGCCGCTCCTCAAATTTGTCAGATATTTGTGATTTTAGGAAAAACGCCACTTTAAAAAATTCTAATTTTTTTATCCAATGTTCTTCATTGGTGGGAGGTTAATTTGAGACAATAAAATTTTTTTTCGGAAATATATCCAATTTATGAAAAATGGAAGAAAAATATTGGGTTCCGGGGAATCGTAACTTTTGTCTAATAGGGTACCGGGGAATCGAGGCCCGCTAAATCCTGCGACAAGTGGGTTCCGTTTCCCTGTAACTTGCATAAGTAAAAAGTCCAGGGAATCGGAACTTTTGGGTGACGTTTCCCAGGTACTAAGTTCCAATCCCCCGGCACTTGAACCAGACTGATTGTTAATAAGAATTTCTTATTGCAAAACTTGTTTGAATTTAGCATTCGACTTCCAATAAATTACTGAGTGATTTGTACACCGGTTTAATAATTATTATTTTAACGACATAGCAATTATAGTTAGATTGTCAGATAAAATGTCTAGATGTAATTGCAGAAATATTTATTTGTATTTTACTACACACAAAAAAAAACACGAAAAACATGATTGAATTTCGTACATTACAATACTAAGCTTAGAAAGAAGAAATGATATAGCGTTTGCAAAAATAGAAATTTTCAGATTTACCATAACTGATTGTAATGCCGCATAACAAAAATTGTTTGTGTTTTATCCGCTTATAAATATTTTATAAAGTAAATCTTTGAAAGTTGGGGTAATAATACATAAATTTCAAATAATCAAAAATCAGTAAATTTTAATTTTTAATTAGCTACAACATAAAAAATATCATTTGGGTGATTTACACACCATTTTCGTTAACTTATTTAGCTAGCGAGATTAAAGACATTTGTCAGATAAGGTATTACGGACTTGCGAAATTATAAAAATAGTTTGAAAACAAAAATTATAAAAATAGTTTGAAAACAAAAATTATCGGAACTGATTTCATGTCCTGTCTTTCGCAAATTTCATACTAATTAAATTTATGATCGATTGACACTAATTTGTTCAAAATCAGAGGGCATATTAAAAAAATTCAAATTATAAAAAATATGCTTACGCTGGGAGATCTCCATTTTGAGTAAAATTTCGTAATCTTTTTCCATCGCTTGACTATAAGCAAATAAATTGCATATAAACAGATAAATTGCGAATAAATATTATTACGCAAATCAAGTTCACTGCTTATCATTCCAGAAGTGAGACTGATAAAGTGCAACCTTATCCTCGCAGCCTTGCAGCCAAATAAAATCGCATTACATTACATGGCATTCCATTCCATGCAAGTAAGTAAAAGTTGCGAGGAGAAGAAGAAGATTTCATACCCGGAAAGGAAATCGATACAAGTTCCCGAAAGCATCCCCCGAAAATTCGGTCTTTTTCGGACGGTTGCTCTCTTTTGGTCCAATTCTCTTCTCTCTCTCTCCCACTTCCACACGTCCCGTTCTGCATACGTACGTATTTGTATGTGTAGGAATGGGAAGCAAGAGTGAAAGTGAATGAGTGGTGGTGAAAGTTGTAAATATACTGAACGGAAAATAGGACGGGATTTTCAGGTCAGGATTTTCTTTCGCTTTCCCAAGAGGAAAAATTTGTAATAAAGTGGGTGCAAGTGTTTCGAAAAGGAGGGCGGGAAATATGTAAATTGTGTCGGAAATTTTTTTAAAAAAGTTGGAAATTTTTCGAAATAAGAAACATTTAGCGATATGATGATTAAGAGGGTGGTGAGCGGTGTGGGAGTTTGTGGGGGAGGGATTAATTGTTTTTGAAGGGGTTAGGAAATTTTGAATTATGAAATTTTGCAGTGGGGAATTTGGAAAGTGAGGAATTTTGAAAGTGAAAGTTTTCCCTGGTAAAATTAACTGCTCAGATTTACATATTTAAGTATAAAACTGACTGAATAAACAAGAACGGACGACTTTTTAGTTATAATGTGTATTTAAAGTGGGAGAAATATTAAACAATTTTGAAACCGGAAACTTTGGCATTGGAAATTTTTGAAATCAGAATAATCTTCACTTTTCAAATTTCCCTAACTAAACAAACTCAACCCGGAAATAGTATTCCTGTAACGAAGATGTGCTTCTAAAGTGTTTAAAAAGTAATTATTTTTCGTCGCGATTTTTCAAAATTTTGAAAAATCTTTCCATACATTCCTGACCCAAATTTCCTTGATTTCCGTGGGGGTGAAGTCTGAGGGGGGTTTATTAACTAATTTCGTGCTTTGTGTATCGGGGTCGTCACGATTGATCGCGTCAGGATGTACCAACCCCACGCGGGTTGCTCGTCGTCATCGTCATCCTCCTCGAAAAAGCAGATGATGCAGCGTCAGTTCATCGTGGACGATGAGAACGCCCCGATAACCATTTCCCTCCCGGAAGACTCCCTGATTTCGGTCCAAACCAGCTCAGATTACTTACGAGGGCCCAAACAGGACGATTGGTGCGAGGATAACGCATTCTGTATTTATCCCATCGTTCAAACGGTAAGGACAAAAAAATAAGGGTTAATTTTTTTGAAATTTGTTCAATTCTCAAAATTAAATACAACATTTTGAGGGGAATTTTGCTTTTCGAAAAATCAATACATTTACAAAATTTTACAAATTTAATGGCATTACACAAATTATTTAGAAAGAAAGGAGAACTCGTCTATAAATTGTCTATGTAAAGATTTACAAATTTACACGATTGACTTAATAAAATCCGTAAATTGGCTAAATTTTAGACAACTTTGCAAAAAGTTAAATTGGAAATTTGTGTTGTAAAATTTGTAACATTTTGACGTCGTTTACAGTTAAACAGATTTATTTAATAACCAAGCTAAAAGTTAGATAAAACATTTTCGGGATGGAAATTTATCGAGAAATTTGTAATATCATTCGGTTAACCTAATTCGAAATTTGTAGTGTAGTTAATATCCGTAAACATGATTTTATAAGCTCAAAATAAAATCAGGTTACAAATTAATTGAAGATTTTACAACATTTATAACTGAATTTGTAAAATTCTGACGTCGATTACAGGGAAAAATATTTATTTTATAACTTCAATAACCTTAAGGTCATATTTCAATTTCAATTTAATCCATAAATTGATATTCAATTTAATCCATAAATTGATAAACGTTTCGATAAGCTTGCTAGGATTATGGTTAAACTTTGTTTAATTGCGAAGATACAAAAATACTAACATTTTTTCTAAAATCTGCGTAAAATTTGGGGACAATGTCGAATTAGGATCTGGAAATTGATATAATCTAAAGTATAAAATTATCAATCTGAAATTTTGAAAATTTAAAACGTTGTGTGTAAAGATTTTGCAATAAAAATGGAAAAATTGAAATTTGTAACTTCCTAATAATTTCAGTCACCTGATAAACGTTTTTTGATAAGCTTGCAAACATTACAGATTTAAATAACTTGCAAATATTACACAGGTTTCATTTAATTAAAAAAATTAACACATTTTAACACATTTCAACATCCTTTACAGTTGACAGTGAAGAATTATTAAATTTATGGCCTTAAACAAATTAAAGCTATGGTATTCTGTTTCTAAGTTTTTGTTACTATCATTCGATTCACTCTTAAATTTGTAACATAATCTGCGTAAACGCGTCGATAAGCTTGGATAGATGCGTTCCGGTTAACCGTCGTATTTTAAAATTTTGCACATTTTGACGAGATTAAAAACGAAAATTTTAATATAGTTTTAATAATTGTAAAATTATCACTGGGAATTTTGTAATCGGGTAAATTCTATAAACTTACAAACTTTTACAGAGAATAAAAATCTTGTTTCAAATTATACAGGTTTTTATCGCTTTGAATTTCATTTTAAAATTTGTCAACTTTTAACGTCATTTAGTACAGTAAACAAGATTTATCATATTGACTAAAATAATTCTTAGGTAATCAGAACCTTCATGAGAAATTTCAGTAATTTATGTTATATATACACTACAAAACTGGTATTAAATCATTACCGACCGGAGTATATATGTGACTCTACCGGCACTGGTATTAACGGGAATTACCGTTCAGTAATGTTGCGGCAATGAAAAATTTACCACTCTGGAACAATTACCACCAATCTGGTAGGAAATTATTACCAAATCAACACCAGTACGGAGTATCTATGTAACTCTACCAGATTTTTAACGGTGTATTTATGCAAATTATTTAATTCACTCTGAAACTTGTAACCTGGTAATAATCTCCATAAACTGATAAACGTTTTGATAAGTGTGGGAGGATTCCGGTTTAAGAATAGTATTTTTAAAATTATCACATTTTGACGGCGATTTAGGCGAAAATTTTAATATTTTTGAATTATTAAAGCATCACTCAGAAATTTGTAACCCAGTAAATTCCTCAAACTTACAAACGCTTCCGACACTAAAGAAAATCTTGCTTCAAATCGATTTGTCGTGTGCAAACTTGCAAACGCGTTCGCACGCTTAAACCGGGGGATCATTTTGGATCTTTTTTGGAAATTTCGAAAATTTCCGGGAAATTTCGAGCATGTCTGGTGTCCGTATTTACAGGCGTTGGAAATTTCCGCGATTTTCTTCCCCCGTTTTCGCAGAAATCGAAATCCCGTTCAATTTATATAAATTTGTATCGTTTAATTTTAAATTTGTCACATTTTAATGTCGTTTATTACACTGAAGCACATTTGCTTCAGTAATTTAAACAAGCTCCATTATATATATATATATACATATATATATCCATTATATTCCATTATATATATCCATATCATTTCAAGTGTCAATAATTCCTGTTGTTATTATTCGCTCTGAAATTCGTCGCAATTGCAGTAAATTGATAACCGTGTTTCGATAAGCGTGAAAGGATTACGGTGAAGAATAATTCACAATCGTGTTTTAAAATTGGTCACGTTTTGTCGCCGTTTAAAGCGAAAATTGTAATATTTTTTGGAACAAAAAAATGTATAAATTATCAGTCTGAAATTTTTTACCCAATATATTTCCCAAACTTATCAATATCAACTCTTTCGACAAAGAAAAATCTTTTTCAAATTATATCAATTTTTATCGTTTTAAATGAATTTTTCAATTTGCCACATTTTAACGTCGATTACATAAGAGAATCTTTGTTTTATGGCGTTAAATAAGTTAAAGATATGGTTCATTTCGTTCGATAAGTTTTAGTGATTAATGTTGTTATCCTTCAATCCTAAGTTAAGTACTAAATTCTGGAATTTGATACACGTTTCGATAAGTGTTAAAAGGATTCCGGTTAATAATTGCATTCTAAAATTTGTCACATTTTGTCGACGTTTAAAGCGAAAATTGTAATATTTTTTTAATCAAAAAATGTATAAAATTATCACTCCGAAATTTTTTACCCAATTATTTCCCAAACTTATCAACGCTTTGGACAAAGAAAAATCTTTTTCAAATTATATCAATTGTTATCGTTTTAAATGTCATTTTAAAATTTGCCACATTTTAACGTCGTTTACAGAAGAGGATCTTTTTTTTTGGCGTTAAGTAAGGAAAAGATCAAATGACGATGGCTTTATAAGTTTCAGTATTTAATGTTGTTATCTTCAATCCTTGTTAATACTAAATTCTGGAATTTGATATACGTTTCGATAAGTGTGAAAGGAATTCGGGTTAACAATTGTAGTTTAAAATTTGTCACATTTTGACTGCATTAAGACCCAAATTTTAATATAGTTTGAACAGTTATAAAATAAGCAGTCTGCAAATTTGTAACCCAGTAAATTCTACTGTAGAATTTCTACAAACTTACAACGAATAAAAATCAATCTTGTTTTAAATTATCGCTTATTTTAAAATTTGTCAACTATTAACGTCGTTTATTACAGTGAAGAAGATTTACTTATTGTTGTAAATAAGATACATAAGTTGATCCAATCTTCAATTTGTAACGTTGTAAAAGTCTCCATATTTTTTCTTGAAAATTTCAGAACTCCATAGTTTCAATGTTGACTTATTCCTTTCTGAAAGTGGCAAGATTTCCGTTTCCTTGTGCAATTAAAATTTTGCCGAGATTATTACCAAGTTACAAATATCAGTGTGAATCGGGCCATACTTTTAGGATTTGTTGAAACAGATTAGAATTTTGGCATATAATCAAGTAAAAGTAACTAGTCGTCACATCTGGATTTTACGTTATGCATGAAAAAATAGTCTTCGATGTAAACGACGTCAAAATGTGACAAATTCAAAAAAATACTGAGGCAATCCGCACAGTCATTGGTAGCTTTGTAAACTCCGTAAATTATATGAAATAGTTTTGCAAACTCAAAATGTTTCAATATATTTCCCAGTAAAACTTACAAATGCAATCGCCAATAATGAAAAATCTTATTTCATCTTGTCAAATTTTTGAAATTTGTAAAAATTTCCTTAAACTGATAAACGTTTCGATAAGCATGGAAGGATTATGGTTAACATTCGTGCTTTAAAATTTGTCAAATTTTTAGTCGATAATTTTATTAGAGTTTTAAGAATTTTAAAATTTTCACTCGGAGATTTGTTAAGAAGTAAATTCTACAAACTTTCCAGTATTTCTTTAAGGTACCACAAGAGGTTGAATATTTCAATTTTTTCTGGACTTAGCAACATAATTTTTTAGAGAAAATGAGTCAAGACATGAAGTACGGCTCCGTATAGCAACAAGGGCATTGGGGTATTTTTAAGAGCTCCCCGAGATGGAGGGGGTGGACTTTGAGGTCATAATGGTTGTTATTTGGAGTCACTATATATTTCTGCAGGGTGCATAATCGGTTGGTGGGCTCATTTGAGTCAGGTAATGAGATGTGAACCATTTTTGTCCTCAGAAATATAAAATAATAGGGAGGGGCAAGTATAGAAATGCTATTTGGAAAAGTATGGAAGACAATACGGAAATGAGACCCATTATGCTCCCCATGTAAAACTATTTCGCACAATGTGGGAGTCGTCCCACATTTGTGCTCCGTATGGTTTTGACGCTAGGAAGTTTTAAAAAAAATTCATCATGTTCGACTATTTTGGCTATAAATACGGAAGTATAAGTAACAGCAAAAGATGACATTTGCCAAAATTTAGAGCAGTATATTTTTTACAAAATTTGTATTTGAACCAAATTTCTACCTACTATAATTTCTGAGAAAATTACAATCAAAGTGGGTGGCATAATTCCTTGCCAACTCTCTTGTGGTACCTTAAGCCTACAAAAAATCAAATTATTTTTACAAGTTAAACAGATTTTTATCAATTTAAATTTAATTCTAAAATTTTTCAAATTTTAACGTCGTTTACTGTGAACAATAATTATTATAATTTTACGGCTTTAAATAAATAATAGGTATGGCAGATTAGCTAGACAAAGTTCAGTAATTTCTGTTATTATTATTCGATTCACTCGGAAATTTGTAACAATCTCCGTAAATTGGTAATCGTGGCGATAACCATGGAAGGATTTCGGTTAAAAATATTGTTTCA